GAAAGGTCTGAATCACCAAAGTCACTAGGAATCTCTCTCTGGGCAACATGAATGTCTGTGCCAAATTTCATAGCAATCCTTCGGCCATGTCACTAGCATCTCCCTCATTGAGAACTTATGATGCTTCAGGTGAGTTGAAATGGCCTCTCAAGCTCAAAGTGCCAGCAATTTGCACCATGACGGTGGTTTAGCCTTGGTTTATTTTGGATGTGAAACCCTCATCAGCATCAGAGGATTGGCTCGTGGTCATGTGTTAATCAGTTTTTCTTAGCTGGACAATTTGTAAACCTCCTGAAACTGGTCTGGTGTGAAAATGAGATCTTTCCTTACTTAGCTCAGTGTTTACTTAATTAAAGAGTAGCTGGCAGGCCATTGGCCAGGTGGCTGGGCACAAGTGTACGGCACCAAGAACCAGTTCCATCTCTGAGGATATTAATAACTCCCTCTACTGGGACTGCTCAGTGTATATTGCTACATGAATTAAACTGAAGACTTTTAAATGCATCGTGAGATGACAGATTTCAAAGGAGGGTGTAGCAGGAACTGATTACATGTGACAGTTTTCCTCTAGCTCCTGTCCACCACTTGCACACACTCTCTTTCTCACACACTCACACACACCTCCACAATGGTACACCCATCACTCTGCCCTGGGCTTCCGATAGCATGCTAACATTTCATGACTGCATTCCTGAGGTCTGCTTCCTCATCTACTCTGGGAACCTGCAGTTTGGCTACTTGTTTTTTCAAATCAAAAGCATGACGTGTGTCCTGTCTTTCTCTGCATTTAGCACGTTTTTATTCATATTAACTCAAAGGAGAAAGGCAACTCTTCTTTATTTAAGGCCTGTGGCGTGTAGGCTAACTATGACAAATCAATACAGCATAATCAACAGACTACAAACTCCTGGCTTTCGGACAAGCATTTAAATTGTACACTTAATTGGCAAGCTGGAAAACCCATTCACTGAAGAGCAGACAGTGAAACCTAAAACCTTGACTTGCACTTTCTAAAAGTAGACTTTGGGAGAGATCTGCGGCCTCTGCTTGTCACCAGTTTAATTCATGTGCTACTTGCTCCACAACACCCTCAAAGACAAGAGGGGAGCCGATGTTACCGCTCCTGTTTTATAGGCTAATCGTTCATGCAGGAGCTTGGATGTTCCCAGTTCGTCTGGTGGTTATCACTGGGAGCTGTGAAAAGTGGAGAAAAGCATTGTTGCAGCTACTGTTTGTAGATAATTCCTGTCATTCTTCATTTGGTTTTTGGCAGGACAATTTGTTTTTCCTGCACTGCTGGGCAACTTACGTCAGGCTCTGTTTTGCCCCAAACTAATTTGGTTGATGTTACATGTGAATGTGGTGAAAATAATGTTCCTGCTGCAAAATGTTTTTGTAAGGTGAATGTCTCTGACCACAAGATTTCTGGGAGAAATTGTGTTATTGTGCCTTGTTTTGACATTAAAGTTGACCTTACAGGAAATAGGTTCACTGTTGAGAATGAAGGACCAATACTATTAAATGCAAAACTGCGGTAACGCTGTTGTATCTTTCAGGACCTTAACCTACTAAGAGGCCATCCTTACCATAAGACTATTTTAGAAGCAATGAAATTCATTGTGCTGGCATTACTTCAGTTTTATAAGTGCGTCAGAGAACTAAGGGGTCTTCGAGGTCCACTCTAGAGCTTGTGTTTGTCATTATTTAACCTGGTATTGGTCTATTCTGAGCTACTGTTGTAACATGGCAGTGCAACTTGGCGGACCCTGTGAATATGAAACGCCCCCTATATGGCTGGGCGATATGAAGAAAATCCTGAAGGACGATATTGTGGACCAAATACCTCAATATTGATGTTGTGACAATACTGTAGGGTTGATCTTCGATTTTTTTATAAAATACTTACACAATAAGATTTTTTTTTTTTAAACACCCTGCTCATACTGTATATCCCCCTATATACTACAGACTGAACCTTTAATTTTAACCAAAAAATCCTTGAGAGTGATAAAGGTCACATAAGGTTGTACTCACAACGTTACCCAGCTCAAGCCCTCTAACCTCTGCTGTCCTCTGAAGCAGATTCCCCTCTAAGCCTCCGACACTGTAACTTCATCACCTCACAAACCATGGTGCCACACGAGTATGTCTTGTGAATTTATCTGGCTGAGAACTGGGCGCCCAGTTTTTCAAAAAAGCGCCATATGAATCTAAGTGATTAAGAAGAGGGTGTAAACGGAGAGGGAGAGCTTGGTGGCTGGCGTGGAGGGGCATGTCTGCGGCCTGCTGCACCTGTCTGACTGCCCTAAAGGAGCAGAGCCTGGGGCCCCGAGGTGGAGCCCAGCCAAAGGAGCGGAAGGTAAGGAGGAGAAGCTTAGCGGGAGGTTGAGCTGAATGTGATTCCCCTGAGAATCTCTCTCACTGCGTGCTCACCAAATCTATAAATAACTTTTATTGGGTTAAAGTGGAATTAGTGGAAATATTAGTCGTCAGCATGTTCACAGATATATACACATTCTGACATGAGAGATTCTCTGACATGAGAAGACGGAAGAGCAAGAGGTGTTAATTATGAGAGCCCTGCACACTGACACATGTAGGCCTACACTCACACAGGAGCCAGCTGACATGGATATAGATGCAACAAATATCACAAGTAAAGCAATTATTTCCAAGATCATCATTTATTCATTTCCCATACTTGCATGTATCTCATAAGGGTCATACTGGTTGTTGAAGCCTATCCCACAATCTTTTGGTGGCAGGTAGACCAGTTGCCAGACAGTAAAACACACAGAGGCACATGTTCAGACCTCAGGCCAGATGTTATCAGATATAAAGAACCTTGTCTTTCCCACTGTTTGCACTGCTAACACATGAAGATGTCTTGAAATAATTATTGACTAAATTAATCAAAGTGAAGTAAGAAAATGTAAACTTTATTGCAACTTTGTCATTCTAAGTTCTCTGATTTACAGAAGAGAAAAAACACTTGTAATGGCACAGTCATCGTAATATGTACATTGCTGATACTGCAATAATCCAGACACTGGTGTCGTCCAGATTTAAGAGTGGCATATTAAGGCCCAATACACACAGTCTGTAGAGAGAAGGAATAAACACATCAAAGCTTTTTCCTGCAATTTATACATGAACATACCACGGCATTCCATAAAAGCAATAGAACGGGAACTAGACAAAGCTCCTCGAACAAAGGGCTTGGTTGGGGAAATCACAGTTTGTCCATTGTACATTCAGCTCTAGGAGAGATTAAGACGTCGATGTGTTCACAACATACTGCGTTGCACTAAGACATTTGGTGATTTGATAAGCTTCAGTTGACCTGAGTGTTTGAGTTGATACAATAAACGTTTTAGATCAAAATTACACAATCGGTTTAGTGGTAAAGCATTCACTAAAAGTGATACGTTTTCAGAGTCTGTATCATCACTGCTGGCCAGTTAAGATTGTCTTGTGAAGAACAAATCAATAAAGAAAAGCAAACTAACTAACTGTACATTGAGCAATGCATCATGGTGCAAAATCAGTTGTGTCATTTGCACATTATTAGCTTAAAGCATATAGTTAGGGTTAAAACCCAATTAAAAACATTTCACATAAGTAATCCAACTGAATTAAGGCAAGCAATACATGTTGATGTGATTACAATGAACCAAAGAGTAAGATGCTTACTCGTCAGGGTTTATGTGAAGTGGCCACTGCACCTCTGTGACTTTTTGTATCGGCAATAATAAAATCCACGGTGTCTGCCATCGAAAGATTTGTTATGAATGATAGCATTGTAGCCTTATACGTTGGGTTCAGAAAAGCTGCTTTCCCCATGTTGTCCTATTGGAAAAATAGTTTGACATCTCTGGAAATGCAGTTATTTGCTTTCTTGTCAAGACTTAAATTGATTGAGATGGAGAGTCCTCTTTATATGGTAAGAGGTGCAGGTAGTCAGATTTTGTGGGTAATATCTATGTTCTTGATATAAACTGACATTGCGAGAAAATGGTTGAAATTGTAAAAGAACAAAGGGTTATGGACATTTGTAATGTTACAAATCTGTAAAGCCACTGTGGAGATATGAATTTATAAATCCAAAAATGGTCTTGCCTGCAAATTTGAATGTGTACGTTTGAAGGAGTACAACTGTTAGCAGGCTATAAACTGGATGTGGATGATTTCAATATGGAGAACATAACATCTTTTGAAGATCAATTTAGTAACACATATTAGGATGATGTTAATCTGGGAACATACAGGACCAAGGCATCAGAGAACCCTGAAGACCATGCTCCCAGATTATGCTATCTTTGGACCAGTCTAGCTGTTTATGCTAAGCTAAGCAGCCACTTGCGCTATCTCAATGTTGCAACACAGTCTCAAGGCATTTCGTGTTATAGTCACGAAATTAATCTATTGATTCGTGTTCACCAACACGATTTACCCATTTTTTTCGTGTCACACAGAACGATTTTAAAAGCAATGTAAATAATAACAAATTAGAAGGAAAAAGATATTTAAAAAAATACAGATTTCAGTATTCTGACACAGAACGATTTTAGAAGCAATGTATTTATATTGGTAGTATGTTTTGTGCCTGCACCAAATAATAACAAATTAGAAGGAAAAAAAGATTAAAAAGAATACAGATTTCAGTATTCTGAGGCTCTGAGCCCCATTTCTTTTCCTCGCGGACGGCAAAAAAACTCCAACATTATATTATTTAAAATAAAAGGGTTAGGGTTAGGCTTAGGGTAAGATATTGAGTAAGAAAATGTTTTTATGAACCACACAGCTTCCGGTCTTCCAAGACCCGACTGGACAAAAAGACGTGGTGCAGGCACGAAACATACTACCAATAGAAATACATTGCTTTTAAAATCGTTCTGTGTGACATGAAAGAAATGCGGAAATCGTGTTGGTGAACACGAATCAATAGATTCAATTAATTTCGTGACTATAACACGAAATGCCGTGAGACTGGGGCGGGACATAGGTATCGGTCTTCTCATCTAACTCTCAGCAAGAAAGCAAATAAGTGTATTTCCTAACATTTTTAACTCTCTATTAAAAAGCTAATTTCAACCTCTGCGGTGTCGTCAACAAGGATTTCTTCTGAAGAGTACATCAACATCAGACATACAAAAAAATAGCAACCCATTTGAAATACCTTACTACAGCAGGTCAGTATGAAGGCAACAAATAAACTAAATTCAAATATAGCCAGAGGTACAATTACAGTGGCTTGGCCTCAAGTATATCTGGCCTACAGCACTAGAGGACATTCATACGTGTCCGACAGAGTGGTATGTTGATAAATTAAGTTGAACTACTGAATAAGTGCTAAGGGGTAAGATTGCTTTGTCTAATGACTCTGTAAAGATCTGAAAAACCATAACTTGAGGTACATTCATCAAACATCAGCCCTTTGGCCTGAATAGTTCAAGTAAAAGCGTCTCCGATGAGTTAGCAAAACATACAGTATCACGGTGCGTCGGCCTCTGTACGAAGCTTTCTGTGAGCTAGTTCATCCCAATAAGCCTCTTCCTTAGTTCTGCTATATCTTCATTTGGTCTTCTTGAGAGATTCCGATTCTTTGTTCCTCCTTATCAAGAGAGCCAGAAGCGATTTAAAGATTGTAGAAATGCGGTATGTAAACGCACAGATTTCTCCGGAACTTACATACAAAAAAAAGCAGAACAGATCAAAAAGTCCGGAAACAAATCAGCCAAGAGGTAAAACCGATTAACATTTTTTCAAAAGTAAGAAAACAATTGTGACAAAGGAAAAAAATCATAATGAACTGTAAAGTGCAAGTATAAAAAAAATCTTTCTACATATCATCTCAAGCCCTGAGACAGGGTCAATAGTCTTTAGTGGAAAAGTGCAAGTTAAGAACAGCACTAGTAATACAAAAAAAAAAGGGTTTGATTCAAAACAGTAACAGGATAAGTCAGGTGACTCGGTGGATCAGTCATGTGACTCAGCTTCTGCGTAAGAAGACAGCCACGTCCTCCAAGGGCACAGGGTAGTCCTGTAGGAACGTCCCCCCGTCGAACACCTGAGCATCACGGCTGTCCTGCCACTGGAAGCCCCCGTCAGGTAAATAAATATCCCTCTGCACTGCCCCCTTCTCCAGCACCGGTGCCACTAGAACCTGGAAATGCAAATTGGTAAAAACAAATTCAGATGTCAAAGAAGATTGTGCACTTAATTAGCAAGACATCAGGTTACATTCATAAACCATCCATGCCAAGTACATCGTAACCCCATCCCTTCCCATCAGGTCACCTCGTCTCCGATGAGGAACTGGTCATCGATGGTGAAAGTCACAGGGTCACTGGGACTGAGCCACCACATCGGCCTGTAGATGGGGTTTCCCGTCATCTGCCACTCATCTGCATACTTTTCTATCAGTGGGACCACATCCCTCTGGTGTTTTGCTATGTAGGCCCGTGTGAGGTTTAACACCTACGAGTCAAAAAGAGAGAAGAGCATAAACAAGATGAAGATTTCAGCAAAACATTATTAGTGGTAGCACAATGCTGTATAAATAGCCTACTGTTTATTTTTTATACCAGGCTCTATTGTTTTCACAAGTCCGTTATGAGAAGATAATATCTCGATATTGGAAATTCACCTCGATCAACTGGTCGTAAGTATTTTCATCGCAATCACCAATTCAATCCTACATAAACCCTTCCCTACTTAACACTAGAACCGCCAATCGGGTCAATTTGACCCAGAGCTGTTTTTTATTGTATGTAACTTTTTTTCAATAAAATATTAAAGTCTCCCAGTCCGTGACTTTTCCTGAAAGTGTGTTATGTAGCACCCTATGTTGTTAAAAATTGTCAATATGAAGTCAGATTGAAGAAATCGCCAAAAAAATTGCCATTTATACCTATTTCCGCCCAGCGGGTCATATTGACCCCACCCCTTTTCATATAAACATGACGTGTTGCTATAGCAACGCCTTTTGTCTACTGCGGTTCCTTATAGATTGAGAGATAGATTGAGAGAGAGAGAGATAGATGGATAGATATATTGATAGATAGTTATAGATAGAGAGAGAGAGAGAGATAGAGACAGTCTGTAGTGAAGGAGTGCGCTCCCGCTCACGGGAGACTGCTCGCGCTGCGCTCCGCAGCAAACAGCTGTGGGGCGAGTTGAAAGTACGTTATGCTGGCCGGGGTGTCTAAATAATGCTTCCGGGCCAGCGGGCCATTTATAATGTCGAGCCCTGTCATATGAAAAGCTGAGAGTCCACAGATTCTATTGGTATACGTTTCATCCCTGTGCGATCAAAACTCACTGTTCAATAAAAGAACATTTTACCTTGAAAATCAATGCATTCTAATAGCGGGTCAATTTGACCCAGGTGGCGGTTTTAGGTATACAAAATCCTCTGGCGGTTCTAGTGTTAAGAGTTTAACATTTTATTTATTATTTTGTTTGATGATTTATTTCCATATTGAGTAGTGTCTCCATGTGCCCTCTAATTAAATTACGTTTCTGAAGAATTAAATTTACACTGTAAAATATTACCATGATTTCACAATATTTAGCTGTAATATTTTACAATAAATTACTGTTTTACCACTTTACAGTCTTTACCTGTAATGTTCACAATATAATACTGTCATTTTGAATTTCACAGTGAAATCAATGCAGGCACAGTTAATTACTGTGAATGTACAGGATAAATTATTACCAGGATTTCACAACATGTTACTGTATTATTTCATAGTAAAATACTGTATTCAGACCATCCTCCGTGATAACCGGTGATAACACGACAAATTACGTGAACCGCGCTGCATTGTGGGATCGCAAAAGATTTCGAACGGCAAGTAACTGCTACGAGTCACTCAGTCACTTGGCGCCAAGAAGCAAAGACGAGAAGAAACACCTGTCACTACTCTGATAGGTAATTCAACGCATTTTGTTCCCCTTTACTTAAATGAAAATGTGTGCTTTTATTTAGACTTGCTCCAGTTTTGTTTAATGTGATTGCAGACAGTCTGAAATATCTGGTGTTCAGAGTTTCTGTTAGCCGGTAACGGTCATAGTCCGGTAAAATATGCTGAAGTCCGGCAAATCTAAATATCTTATATATATAATTATAATAATAATAATAATTTCCCCTTAGCGCAATATCGCATCAGTTTCGCCACTTATGTGACAGACAAGAAGAATACATTCTAATGTCTAACATTTAATGTGGAGAAAGAGATTTATCCTCCTGAAGGGGACATTTTGACCCCTCATGTAAACAAATACATAATGCTGCGCTATACTTTGCCGCGATACCCCGTTGCCAAGCAACGCTTAATGTTTGGTGTCCTTTGATAAGCAGGCAGTCATATCATTAGCCAGAACTAGCTAGATCTGATCGATATGGACATAAACGCGAGTGAAGTCTAATCGGACGGGAGAGAGATCAGAGATCAGATCAGCTGCTGTTGACGGAGACACGCAGCTCTGCATGATCACCTGCAGCTCTACATGATGCAGCTCTACATGATGCAGCTCTATGATCACCTGCAGCTCTACATGATGCAGCTCTGTCCGCCTGTGACAGACTGGTGAGCAGAGCAAAACACACACTTCAAGTTAGAACTAGAGAATGCAATTCCTGAAGAAATTGCTAGTGGGAATGCTTTATGCTGAAAAGCTGACGCTAAACTGCTATGCTGAAATGTAATGTGTAAGAAGAAAGTGAAGAATTTAGATTGAAATGATACATGAACACTGGGGGCTTGAATGTGTGATGAGAGAACAAAAGAAAGTAAAAAGGCTTGGAAAAGCAGCAGAATATTTGAACTGCAAACTTTTGAACTAACTTGATGGCGAATGATCTGTCGCCATGCCAACAGCATTTGATGACATCCCATAATACGCTTAGATGCGTTGATGCAGGGCTGCCAACCCTCACGCATTGAGCGTGAGAGTCATTAACCCATATCTCACGCACTCACGCCACAGATGCCTTTCCTCACGCTAAGTTTTCGTCCAAAATAAATGTATATAAAAATAAAGTGAAGGAACAGCAAACCGAGCGGTCTAAGAAATGAGACGGTCTTCTGGCTTAGTTCAGTAAAGTTGGAACGATATTGGGAGATTCGGATTTCACGGATCAGTAACTCATGAACAAAACGTTATTCAGACACAAATGACGTCTCCTAAGTACCGTGGTAAGGTTGACAACGAACTACAATCACATTTTGATCAAAAAAAGCCAATACGCGCCGTCCTCCGAGCTGGACACATTACATTGGTCTCTATTCGCAGCCGGAGAAGAAACGAGTGCTCAGGGACCGTCTGCAAAGTGCAACTCCGAAAAAAGAGAATACAATAATATTCACTATTATACAGTACATTACTACCAAACTCACTACACACATCAATAGTCTCCTGTGTGTCATACTACAGCAAGGAGTTTGGAAGAATATGCTTTTGAATAATTTTGGGGAATATTTATAATGTAAAATCTTCAATAAATATGGCATCATGTTCAATAACTTTACTATTATACAGTATATTTCTACCAAACTCACTATTTGCATTGTTGTTGTTAGCATCTGGTTAGCTAGCTGCGCTAATGGATATTAGAAGCTGTTTCTAAAACAAGGAGAGGGAGAGGTCTCTCCTGTCAGACTGAGAGAGATAACTACAGCTCAGTGAGGTAAGGGACTCTCTGAGTGTTTAGATAGTTAACTTTAGTCTAGTTATCTCAGTGGGTCTCAAACGTTTTGGTCACCATTTATGAGAATAAATGAAAAACAGTTATGAAATACTATATGACAGTAAAACAAGAATACAGTTTAAAAGGTGAGTGATTTGTAAAATATCCATAAAGAAAAAGAAAATTCATTTTGCTCTCAAAATGCACCAGGTTGATGCATTTAAAAAAATCTTCCCGGGGGAGCATGCCCCCGGAACCCCCTAGAGGAGGTGAGGACCCCCCCCCCCCCCCACTTAGAAAATAGCACTTTACCTCTGCTTACACCTATACATGTATGCCATTTTATATGCTGTGAGCTGATTATCGAGCCTTCATTGTAAGAGTCGCGGGTACACTGTGTGTGTGCGTATTCCACTGTAGCGCCCGGTACATTAATGGGAAACCCAGGACCATTAACCATTATTTAGTGGGAATGCTGATACAGCATTCCAACTATCTGTTCTTCGACGCACAAAATTCTTTATTATTCCGCCGGGTTATTTTGTACCTCTTCTTCTCCCACATTCCACATCGCAGAAACTCCGTTCAAACATCAAAACGTTCAGCTCGGTCGGGAATCGATTGCTATTACTTTTCTCATTCATAACTTTCATAATTCCAGAGATACATCCCATAATTCATCAAATTTTTAACATGGAAGTCAATGGAGAAACTCTTCAGACTTGAACAATCTTCATGCAACTTCAACTGCTAACTGCTCCTTCATACTTTCACTCAGAAACCTCATTCCAACTTTAAAATGTTACACATCTTTCTGACATTATTCGTGTAACACAACTTTCAAATCTGATTCATACTTTTAGAGATATTAAACATTGTTCAGACCTTGGTAAAGAGGCCTTCTTCAGATTTTAGAGTGTGTGATGTCACAGCTAGAGTGGAGGACAGATTTCATTTTGCCTTCATATTTTCTTTTAAACCTGCCATAATTCCTGAGACATAATTTGTCATGACAATCGTAGGAAAACATCTCGTAGCTTGAAAAATTCAAAAAAATTAGCCTCATCTTTCCCCACCACAGCAGCCGCACACCTTTAGTTAATCTGCCAAAAAGGCCACATTATTAACCCGAAAGTACACAAAAAGTACACTTCAGATGCTCAAGTTCCTTGACATGCTTCACACTTTGAAATTTCACCGATATCTGTTACGGTTCTTCAACAAAATCAAATCAAATCAAATCAAGTTTTATTTATATAGCACATTTTTGGTCGAGCCAAAGTGCTGTACATATAATAATTACCTTACAGTAAGGACACTTTACAGCAAATATAACAGCACAGTTTGTGCAGAATATCAGTATGAGAAAACGACACCAAAACCCTCTGTCCTTAGACCCAAAACGTTCACATGTAAGAGGTTTATCTCTCATTCAGAACAATGCAAATGCTCTCCTCTCACTGATTACTGCAAATCACCATGGAAACCTTTGATCTCTGGACACATAGTTAGCTGAAATATAAACACCTGTGTCATGGAACACGATGATGTCATAACTCCAACTGACATGCTCAGAGCAGCAGACTTCAGATAATGGTTAATGGTCCAGCCTTCTATGTGCCATTAGTGAGTTTTCCTCAAAAGCTGTTGCCATGGCAACGCATCCCTCGCCGTAAAACACGATATTGCTATAACTCCTATGAAAATGGTCAAAAAGGGCTCAAACTTCACATGTGTGCTAACAGTCCAGCCGTGAAGACATCTATTTGACAGTTTTAAGATTTCTTCAAATGCCGTTGCCTTGGCTACACAATGCTCACTATGAAACACGGTTTTCTCACAACTTCAGTTCAAATGCTCGAAATGGCCCAAAACTTCACATGTTTGGTAACTATGCAGCCATCAACACATCTAAGCGTATTATGGGGTGTCATCAAATGTTGTTGCCATGGCGACAGATCATTCGCCATCAAGTTAGTTCAAAAGTTTGCAGTTCAAATATTCTGCTGCTTTTCCAAGCCTTTTTACTTTCTTTTCTTCTCTCATCACACATTCAAGCCCCCAGTGTTCATGTATCATTTCAATCTAAATTCTTCACTTTCTTCTTACACATTACATTTCAGCATAGCAATTCAGCGTCAGCTTTTCAGCATAAAGCATTCCCACTAGCAATTTCTTCAGGAATTGCATTCTTTAGTCTGAAGTCTGCTGCTGTTTTATGGTGAGGGATGCGTTGCCATAGTAACACCACATTACGTAACATCAGATTTGATGTAGAGCTGTGTTAACCATTATCTGAAATCTGCTGCTCTGAGCATGTCAGTTGGAGTTATGACATATGGATAATCTCCACATGTCTACCCTACTTTTATAATTTTCTAATCATAAATCTATCGATTAGATTTAGTTAATCTATTATAATTAGTTTGTTTAATATAGAGTCGTTATCAATTTGTTTTAAAGCTCAATAAATAACAAAGAAGACCTTTGGCCGGCACTTTTCTGATTTTGTCCGGAAGATTTCAGCTTTAACGGACATGTTGACTGGCAAAAAAAAATCTAATGGAAACTCTGCTGGTGTGACATTATTGTCCCTGATATTTTTTCTTCTAACATTTGAAATGTGTATATGTTAATGTGTTTTTTCTCTGATCCCAGGTTTCACATTGCTGTGTTTTGCGACCAATTTGAGATGCATGCAAAACCAAAGGCTGCCCCCGTCCAAAGAAGAGAGGTAAACGTTGTTAGAAAAAAGGTGCAGGTTTTACTTAAATTGAAAGGGGCACCGCTGCATGTGCCTTAAAATAAACTATGCAACATATAAATCTATGTAAAATTGAAAGTTGTTGTCTTGGCTTATTGTTTTCAGGTGCTTCCTGGGTATTAACCCTGAGACGGGCTCGAAAGCCAAGAAGAAGCGTGGCGTTATAAACCCCCATGTCAGCACATTCTTTAGAAAACTCCTTGACTTCGAGTGGATGTCTATGTAGACATGTCCAGGACTAATGTAAGGCACTCACAGTCTGTAGAAAGTTTCATGTGAAATGTACTTTGCACTTGAATGGAGGAATAAAAAGTTAAAATGGGTATTTTCTTGTTTTATTTTTGTTGATTGAGCAGATTCAATTGTGTATGGTAAAATCTCAGTTAACTAGTCAAATTTACAATATATTATAGTATTATTTACATTTTTATATTTACAGTAAATTACTGGCCACTGTGTTGCATTACTTCTAGAGTAAAAGTGTGAAAATACAATATATTACAGGTAATTACTGTAATATATGTACAGCAAGGTACCATAATACCACAGCTCTGTACTGCTATATCACAGTACTTCCATGGGCATGGCAACTGTAAAGTCACAGTATATAGTTGTACTTTTATTCTAATTTACTGTAAAATATCTACTGAAAATGACTGTGAAATCCATGCAACTAGTAGCCAGTAATTTACTGTAAATGTACAGCCAAAAATGTTACAGTGTAGTCATTGTCAGCCAACATGTGGGTCTCATTTTGCATACCAAGCGTGTGTTTCATTAGTATCCGGCAAAATATATTTTTGAAAAACTAAAACAAAAAAGGCCTTTCCTAAACAAAATCATCTGCCTTAAGTAGTTCAGGACATGAATAGTATTAATATTATATATTATATATGATATTATATAACTATGAGCTCTGCAAAATCCATTTGTGCCATCTCTACATCCAGACATGTAGACAAAACTTAAGACTCAATGTTGACTTAGTGGTTTTAACAGTGTCCACGTCTTTCTCCTGTCTCCCTCTGTCCAAACTACTTCAGCATTCCTGGAAGGGTCACATCCTCTTCAGTGTCCCATGACAAAAACCACATCTATAAAACATTTATTTTTATGAGTTGGGATTGAGAACATTTGAAGGAATGAGCTTGAAGTCACAGCTCGGGTTTGAGTGGATCTTTCTCTAAATGAGAAGCCAGGCATGTGTGTGGGTTTGAGGTTTGATTCCAATAAAGCCGCTGCTGTGACCTGTCTACGACTGAACAATCCCACATTCTGGAAATGAAGGTGTGCCACATTTAAACTAAGCATTAAGCATGTATAAAGCAGGTCTCCTCCAAAGTTTCTTCTTAGTCCCACTTCATCCGAGTTTATAAATTGAAGGCCACGCATGAGACCGAAATGGAAAACATTGCTGCTGTCAAACGTCTAACTGTCCAAAAGGCCTATTTTTATCTTTGTCACGCAACACAAGTCACAACCAATATATTTTCGCTGCCTCAGTTCTCTCCTAGTGGAAGAAAAAAGTTGATCACTCCCACTCAGTCACACTTGTCAATTACTCATGGAAATGTTAATTGCCACAATAAAGTATTTTTCCAAGACTTGTCCCCAAATTCATTATCATTCCTGCTGAAGTGGCTCTTGAGAGTGAGAGTGAGCCATAAATCTAGAGAAGGGATTGTAATTCAGAACAGATGTACTCCTAACCGCAGGTGATGTCGGGAGGGGGCCAGGCCATCGCTCCCATTGAGGAAAGGACAAGGGAGGGGGTACAAAAATAGACCTAACCCTCCTGGTGGGAACCTGAGCCATGAAAAGTATCGATGTCTGTCACCGGACTCGCTGAGATTGTAGGCTTTGTTTTCCTGCCGGGCAAGGTGAACTGTACATTCCTGCTTTCCAGCAGAGAGGGACAGGGTTTAGTCCTGAATCTGAAGTTCTGATAGACCAGGTTTCAGCAGCCCCCATGCCTCCTGCAAACACACCGGTGGGAACTTCTCATCCTGACCCTCAAAAACTGAGGAGAGGCTGCTGGGTTAAACTCCTGCTCTCTTGTTTTTTTTCCGAGAAGGAAATATAATCTTGCTTGTTAACAAATCTTGAAAAAAACACAAACCTGTTTTTTGAACGCTATTGTAATCTTTTCTAATGTCAGTGAGAAAAATGTAAAGACTGCTCTTCAGCCTGCATGGCTCTGCGGTGTGGTTCAAATTCAGAGTGCAGGGTTAGAGTGTGTTAGAGTGACTTCATGCTTTGTAATGTATTTTTGGTTGAGTTCTTTACAAAAAATATTCTAGTTTACCCGGTCCTCTCCGCAGACCCAGGGTGGCGTGTGGAAGCTGATAACAGGAAGGAAAGCTGTGATCTCCAGCCAACGGATGAACAACTCCTCATCTGTGACCAGGTCTCCAGAGAGAGAACCACCTGCAGAGAGAGGCAGAGAAAAATGCCAAACATGAAAATGGTAGACTCAAAAATATCCAAGAGGAAACATGCACGCTAGGCGATTTTGGAGACATGGTCAGGTTGCCTTTTTAGCTGGACATAAGCTACTAAAGCATGGGAAAACATAGAGGGAGTTGGAAGTGAATGAACCTTTTAACATAGCTAGCATCAGGTAAAGCTCCCTCAGGCGATACAGAAGACATTTTAATGGTTGCTAATGTCAGTCATTAATATTAAACATGTTTAAAAGCTAGCGGCTTCTGGTAAAGACCTTGCCAAATTTGGTCTTTGTGGTGTTGTTTGAAATGTACATTTCGCATTCAGGATCTGGCTTATATGAATGGTGTTTGATTAATAAATAATTCATTAATACATTGATAGGAGGAAATAGTGAATTAAGGAAATTATAAAGTTGCATAATCCTTGCACAATTTTCACACCTACCAGAAGTGACATATGGGGCACATGAGCGTGCCATGTTTTACGAAGGTCAGAGAGCAATTACAGTATATCAGGTCATCTATTCTGTCTGTAGCACTGACACTCTGTCTATCTTCCAGATAGACATCAGCTGTTTGACTGGCTATTGCAGGAATTTGCTATACTACAGGAATTAACCTAATTTATGTCCAAAACAAGAACATCCAGAGCTATTTTGTGTCTATTTCTTTATGAAGTAGTGAAATAAAGATGCTCTTTTAGGACATACTGTATGATGTACTGAGGTGAGAAAATGTACTCATAGGCTGTGGTATTACCTACTGCATCAGGAATGAGGAAGTTGTATCCCAGCAGAGTGTGGTGCAGCAGGGAGGGAATGATGCCCTTCAGGCCCATTGGGCTCCAGTCGGACTGCAAGGGGCTCATCCTCACAAACAGAGGCTTGTGGCTTGACCTGAGACACAAATAGCATCATAAGAAGTGGAAGGAGTAATCTCACATTGGGAAACATCTCTTTCTGTAAACAGTGGCAGTTGGTACTGAGGCTCGAGGGAGTTACCGTGTCCCCGCTGTCACGATGGTGGAGTCTCCTATCCGTGTGGCCATGTCGGCCAGCAGGCTGATGTACTTGTCTCCCCCGAGAGCCTGTGGAGGCCTCAGAGCTTGCTCCTCAAACAGATTCCCCTCGGCCCCCTCCAGCACCACATACTCCATCCCTAGGTGTGCCTGCAGGGACCCCACCCTGTCCAGAAACCAGCTCACCGCTCCAGGGTTGGTGATGTTTAGCTTTACACAGAACTTTCCTCGCCACTGACTCATCACAGGGCTCTAAAGAGGAAAAGTAGAGTTTACACAACGATAATTTTCTATTTTTGCAATTCATTATTAACTACGGCTCCTCCGCTGTTGCAGTTTTAGATTTTCTGTTTTAGGCCATGCTCAAACTGCTCTGCTTTTTATCAATCTGCAACTTGTGAGAAGAGACAGGCAGATGGAAATTGTCTACTTCGGAAAAAATAGCTGTTTCTGGTTTCTCTTTTTAATTGGGGTTCTCAAAAGTTGAGGAAAATTCTACGTTTTAGACATGGAATAGGTTTTCTGTGAATGGACCGATCACAAGGCAACTCTTTACTACAACAACAACCAGAATGAAATTAGAGAAACCTCGGGTAAAAGTTAACATGCAGAGGACAGGGAACGCAGCCAAGTGCTTCTCAGGATGATGATGAAGTCCACTCAGTTCTCACCAGCTGTCCCTGAGGCGCTGAGGGGAGGCTGAGCCAGAAGGCCTCGGTGCCGTCCATGAGGGAGGTGTGGAACTGCGTGGTGTCCACCCCCAGGAAAGGGGACAGGGTGATGGAAATGTTAAGAAGCTTGACAAGTGGGAGGTCCCTGGTCAGTCTCTTGGACATCCCCCTTTTCCTGCTGTTGAGGTAGTCATGGTCCTGCAGAGAGACAGAGACATTCACTGTCATATCTGAATCAACAGTTAGAAAAGTGTCAACATTCTACACTCGGAGGGAAGCCTTACATCTTAATGTACACTTCAAATGACGATGAAATCATTGTATCGTATCGTACATACGATACAATGATACTTTTTCGTCATTTCAAGTCAGCAGCTCCATTTCCAACATCAACAAGGACAAGAACCAAGGGAAAATACATTTAACGTAACATTGCAATCGGTAAAGACAATATTTTCAAGACCCCTTGCCGACATTTGATCCAGGATTTATTTCAGTTTTACATTTTAAGGATAGGCTGGTCCACAAAAGAATGCTTTAATCTCACCTTATTAAATCGTAGGACCCTATATTTTAGATGTTATGGTACAGGACATTGCAGTCAGAGACAATGTTAACATGTTATTATAATGGTAGGTTGATCATAGAGTTTCTCAAAGGGTTGACCTACAATATGACTTTTGCCCTTTTACCGTATATCATAATCCTTTGGTATTTACATGGACAAGTCAAAACAGAGATGTCAGGTTACATAACTCTGGAATGAAACCTTTTAAGAATACAACGAATGACCCCAGGAGGTAAACCAGCTGTGGGAAGAAAGGGTGGATTAGCAGGTTATGTAATTTTCGTAATGCTCCCCTTTGTCCTGCTTCTACCCTGAATTTGAGTTCTGCATAATTGACAAAATAAAATAAATTGTGAAAAAGATGACCCAAACATCTTTTTATAGTAGATTTGCGAAAAGCTGCATTATTTAGTCTGAGTAATACTTTTAGAAACACGACAGCCTAATAATAACTCTACTTCCAGTGCCTGTAATTCCACACTAATATGGAAACTCGGAAAGAAGTGTGACTGATAATTTACGAACACTTGTAAAACTGGCTTTAAAGAGAAGCCTAGTTTTATTTACATTTTTTACAGAGGGTCATTGTTGCCTTTTACACCTCAGTACACTTAATGGACAAATTCCATACGTTTCCAGGCAGCACTGTACACATGGCTTATTCTTTATGGCATTTATGGAGGGGAACTGGATGACAACAATACCTTTGATGTACCAGAAAACTTCACATTGTGGGTAAAGGAAACTTGTTTTAACGTCGACTGACGTGCGTTATTCCTCTCCCTCTTCTTAATCCTTTCACACCTTCTGAACTGGTAAAGGAAACATACTGTAGGCTAGGGCTGTGCAATTAATCGTATTTTAATCGCAATTACGATTTTGGCCTGCCACAATTACGAAAACAACATAATCGAAAAAAACAATTATTTTGCTTTGCTAGGTTGTGACTGCACTGCAACATATTTTATCTAATTAATTTTTGTCTAATTTATTTTAATTGATCATATTTATATATGTTTAGTAGCTTGTGAAAGTGCGCTCCAAAATATTTGATGATCTTGTTTATTGGTATTTATTATTTTGATATTATTTATTTAAATGTAAATATATATTTATCATTTATTTAATCATTTTTGTATTGGTTTTTCAGTTGAATTATACGTTCAGGGTAATCAACAGTTAAAAAGATACTGTTCAAATTATTATTTGTATTTGTTTTAAAGTTCAATAAATGGATGTTTTCAAAGCCAATGAATAATCGTATTTAATAATCGTGATATCAATTATTGACCAAAATAATCGTGATTATGATTTTTGCCATAATCGCACAGCCCTAATGTAGGCTTTGTGTATGTATATAATAAACTCTGCCTCCTCTTATATTTCATGTTCAGGTCAGATCGCTGCATCAAGTGTGTCTTGGCTGACATCCCTTCTTGTCTCAACACAAACATTTCTTCACCATCCCACGGTTACCACTCTCAGAGCAACCTGAGATCAGTACGGAGAGTCTCTGTTTGTCTTCTCTCGGCTATATCTGTTTTGTAATGGAAGATCTCGAGTATTGACTTAGATCCACTTGACAGTGGTCCTGTTTCTAGGCAGTTCCCAACAACTCTCAAGGACCAATGTTAACATCACCAAATAATGAAATCCCAAATACTGGAAGTATAGTCTGTGATCATGATGTACTGTATCAGATTTACAAATGATGAGACATCTTTCCAAGAAGTGGCCAGTGTGCTGTGGTTTACATTCAGACTTATTTTTCAACATAAGGACATGAAGTACTTAACCATCTTTTTCTTCTACGTTGTGACATTTCTGTGAACCTGTCCTCCCTCATTCCCTCCTCGCCCGTCTCCGGCACTCTGGAGATTTACTTAAGTTGAAAAGTCTTTCATCTCTAGGCTTGACCAGTTTTGAGCCTCTGACCAATGAACCCTCGCCAGCTTCACAGCCCAGATGGTTAAGGAGGAGGATTACAGGAGTCTACAGCTACACGGTGCAAGAATAAAGGATGAATAAAAGATCATTTGCACCATTAGAGATATGCTTATAGCAGAAGGCTACTAAACTGAATATGCTTAAAGTGGACCTATCATGCTATATTTGAATAATATATTGTAGGGCCATACCTATATAAGGTATATTTATACGTTTTCTTTTTCAAAATACCAAACAGATCATGCATTTTAGCCATGCCTCATTTCGCTCTATTTTGCTGTCCTCCACCCTGTCTTTGCATGCGCTGCAGCTGACCACGCCCCCCTGCAAAGGAGGGGGCCGAGTTACGAGCATCGTGTTACCATGCTGTTACCATGCCACGGCAACCTCTCATTCCCCTGATAGGTCAGCTCCTCCGTCCTTACGTCAGAGGAATGTTCAAATATGGATGAGTTTTTATCAGATCCGTTGCAGCCCCGTTTTTAGAGATTTGGGTATGGAGGAAAAGAGAGAGGGTTGTGTTTTCTGACACTTGGTGAGTTCCCTGGAACACCGGGGACACATATTCATGTATAAAAGACGTACAAAAGTGCATTTTGCATGATAGGTCCTCTTTAAGTAAAATGCGAACTACTGTAAGGTTGCCAGAGTATGACAGAAAGTAAAACTTTGATAACATTGGCTACACACATTTTGGTAAAACAGCTTCTCTGTTGGTACAAACATACTTTTTTATGATTAGAGCCAAGGGTTGCAACTAACAATTATTCATCACTCACACTTTATTTTCACGATTAATCGTTGATCGTCAGAAAATATAGAAACATGTCTATCCCAGTTTCTCAAAGTCCAAGGTGATGTCTTTAAACGTCTTGCTTTGTCTGGTCAAAACCCACAGATATACATTTGAATATGATTTATAACAAAGCGTAGTTGAATACTTGATTCTGATTGGTCAATTTGGACATTACAGAGGTTGTTAATTTTCTTTTAGAGAACAGTCCGTTGCTAAGGAGCAACAAGGGACCAAAGCATGTGCCAGTCATATCCATCTGCAGAACAGCATGACTTTATCTTTTAAAGATTGCCAGTCTACTAAAGACTCTGAGGCTGCAGTAAAGAGACAGTGTGGCGGGCAGTGAGGAGTGAGGAGCTCGTACCATGTCGGAGAGGAGGGTGGTGGAATGTTCATTGAGGCTGATGACTCCCTCCCCAAGCTGGTGTCTCTTCAGACGATTAGAGAAAGTCCTCAGCTCCCTCTCCACCTTCGGCCCTGAATCCATGTTAGTGAGCAGCTTCCAGAACGGCAGCCTGTAGTACACACAGAGGGATGATACGAATCTGCTGCTCTGAGGAACCTGGGTAAAGTGTAGTTTATCACTCCCTAAATACCCAGAAAGTTTTAGTCTGTGGTAACTGGAACCAGAGATGCACCACGGCTTGATTTATTGATAATATGAATCAACAAAGTTCCACTTCTGACAAGTAACCCACCACTAATCCTCATCTTAACTGAACGTACCACAGTGCGTTCATGTTGGGCAGCTCCCTGCTGTGCTGGTACAGTTGCTGCACTGCTTCCTGGTGAGCAGCTTTCACATTGTTGGCCACACACACGGTGTACTGCAGAGGCTCTCGCTCCATACTGGGCAGCGACTGCAGGCAGAACTGCTGTCGGCTGTCCAGCCCCAGCTGCAGAGGAATATCAGGAGAAACAAGCACTGCCACACCTGCAACGAGAAAGAGAGGGGAGAGGGCACAGGGTGTTTATCACATTGTACTGGTCAGAGATCCATACTTGATGCTTCAGATCCATCTATATTATGAAATACATCAAAAATAATGTTGTTACCAATTACAAATACTTGCTCAACGAACATTTTTAAATAAAATACAAAATATGGGTAGGCAAAAATTATGTTTTAAAGTTCTGTCAGATCAGTCAATTTCCCACATCATAGATTTAAGGTGGAAAGCCGTGGTGCATCATGGGAGGCTCTGACAGTCAAAGTAACAATTGAATGAGAACAACCGATAGAAAAGCAACTGGGGAACATCAACAGTCCTTGATGGCGCATTCATTATTTCATGACAATAAAAGAGACAATTATAAGAACAGTAGAGTAAGCACAATTCCAAAAACATCTCCAACTTTACAAGCGCCAAATTGATCGAGTGCAAAGGCCACAAAACCCCTGTCCTTCCACCTAATACTGACAACAACCTAGAACAAAATTATTATTCTATGTACCACCTAACACTGCAGTGGAGGGGAACACAAATAAATATGGTAAACTGGTAAAATTGTCTTATTTCACAATAAAATGAAATGGTAAATAATGCATTTAATTTCAAACACACACAGTATAACTCCCTAAAATATTTTTTATCAAAGGACATCTTATGTTTTATGTCCTGCCAAATACTCAAAAGTAATAAAATACATGTTTTGAAAAATATAATAGAATTGAAAGCTACCACTCTCAGATAATATGTGCCTCTTCAAACAGATATAGTGTGAGTCTTAATGTACAGCAAATGAAAAGCAGTGGAAGTATGAGACGGTCCGTCGCAGATTCCTCTGATATGACATAGTGCGCGAGTGATACTGAGACGAGGATGAGCGTGACGAATGGAGTGTTGTGGGAGGTAGAGTGCGGGCTGTGTCAGCTGATATTGCTCCGCTCAGATGTGAGAAAAACACCCCTGAGTATGAGATATCACAGTATGTGGTTAGATGAGTTTACACCGGCACTGCTGGCAACTTCTCGGTAGGTAGGTTACACTGCACAGCAATGGGAGAAGTCTGGGATACATATCCAAAGTCACATTGAAGATGATTTTTTATTCTTCTGGGTTTTACTCCAGGGAACATCTCTTAATTTTGGGCGTGAGGTACAAAAAACAACACCTACGTCTTCAGAACATTTCTCGTTTTTCTCCCCTACTGTACGTAAGATTTTGTGAAGCGGATAATTGTGTCCGCAGATGTAGCTGCCCTGCAAGGAATGCCTCGTCCCTCTCAGGTTACCCCTACCCCATATCCTCACCACTTCTCACCCGTCCTGACTCCCACCTTCTCCCTCCCAGCTTTAACTGCCTTCCTTTCCTCTCTGCTGCCACTCTGCCCCATCTCAGGTCAGCAGAACCCAGCCAGTATTGATCAGAACCCCCAACCGAGCCTCTCTTTCACTTACATTTTGCACAAACTGCTCAAAAGTAGCCAAACTGGAATTTGGGAGCTGATTAATAAACAGATTAGGATTTGAGACCAAAGCTGGTTCACAGTTTGAGAACCGGGGCTGGAAGCTTGGCTCACTTCCGCCCCCCCTCTCTAGTTTCAATGGGCTTACTGTTCTCCTGCAGGCAGGGACCAGGAGCCGGCAGGATACGGGTCTATAATCAGATTAATAGTTTAAAGATCAGTCTTCAAGTGCTGCATAAAGCCTATTGAAGAGCCTTCAACAACCGGCTAACGTGTTTGCAATGGATAATGTCAAAGAGATACTGGTAACTCCTCAGCTGCCCCTCACAAGGTATTAGGTCACCCCCCGACTGCTTGTTATAGATTCATAATGCCAGATAAACGTAGGGTTTTGATCGAAACTGCGTTATATATTTCAAACCTTGAGCGATAAATTAGATAAAATAATTGTTCATGATAACAGGGGTGCCATGAAACTGCACATGTCAATAATGAATATACAGAGTGGTGTAGAAAGTGGGGCAGCAGGAGAAAATGTTACAGCTTTATGGAAGGATGGAAGAGGAATGCAGGCAGTGGAAATAGAGGCTACCGAGTACACCAGACACCGAGCAGCCTCGTAGAATGATGTGCAGATACAGCAGGCTGCAAACAGTGTGTTTTACTAAAGTGCACACAGGGTGGAAAGTGAAGTTTGCAAGCACGACTTCTGGAGTCACATTTAATTTTGATGGGAAATGACACTGCAGGGCCTCAGAGAAATGGGACAATCTGGTCAGGAACAGCTGTACCTTTTATTCTAGCTTTTAAACATGCCGATTTTAATGTTAAATATACTAAATCTGCTCTGGGGGTTTAAACAGATCTATTCAAAGCAGTTTGACACATTTAGTTTCAGTATAGGGGGAACTCCTGATTCTAAATGAACTTCTAACCTCTAGTTATATAAGTTTAAGGCTCAGACACACATCTCTGGATGTGCCAGATTGGAACAGGAATCAATAAGTGTTATTTAAAGAAAGTGAAGCGGGTTTGAGGCCTTGAGTTACAGCCAAAGTGGGGTGCACAGGAGTTAAAGGCAAAGCAAGGGGGGATGAGACCCTATTTTTAGAACAATTCCTTAAACACTTCAAGCTTCCCCCGAAATATTTTCCACTAGCTCTCAAAAGCAAAATTATACGCCTGACAGAGCGTATCCGCTCACCTTTAAAGCAGCAGAAAGGCCAAACGTAAAAATGATTTAAGTTCATTGGGCAGTTTTTAATGATTTGACACACACATGCCTCATTTTTTTACAGCTGTTAAGGGGGCACACAAATCAAGATTGCCTCTTCACATTGTGCATTCACACACACTTCCTTTAATGGGAAACTGTAGACATCCAAGGAAAACAGAGCAGAACTTATAGGGCCGTAAAGGTTCGGCACTTTCTCTTGCTCAGTCTGACCCCACGCACCTTCTGATAGGTCAGGAAGGTTTTAATGTGGCGTCTAGCCCCTCGGAGACTGGCTGGTCTGGGTGGAAAACCAAGTTGAATGACTCCCTGCTGCTCCGGGCCAGATGGGCTACACTCTTTTACCTGTCATATTTATACTGTTATTTATGACACCTGTGCACATTTACAGACCTGAGTTAGGTTATAAAAGGTGCATTCAAATGCTCACTGTGTGTGTGTGTGTGTGTGTGTGTGTGTGTGTGTGTGTGTGTGTGTGTGTGTGTGTGTGTGTGTGTGTGTGTGTGTGTGTGTGTGTGTGTGTGTGTGTGTGTGTAGGCATGCATTTCCTTAACAATGGAAACTTAGTTTCTTTGCCCAACCTCAATACATTGATGGCCACAATTGCCATGGTAGGCACACATCTTGCCATGGTAGGCACACATCTTGCCATGGTATACGCACACATCTTGCCATGGTAGGCACACATCTTGCCATGTTAGGCACACATCTTGCCATGGTAGTACATTTCCAATTCCACTTATTGAAGAAAAATAATGAAACACCAAAGAGGCTTTTTCTTTGCTCCATTCCTGTCATCAATCAGCTTTATTGTTTCCCGTGTGAGATGCTGTGTTCCGTAGAAACATCACAACTGTGAAAGGAGATCAGAAGATACAACATTCAAATACTTTTATGTTATTTAAAAGTATTTTTCATTGTTGGATATTGGTTTAAGAAATACTTGAAACAAGGATTGTTTTCAGATCAATTATATAGAAGATCATTATTTAGAAATGAAACAGAGCTGGGATGAAGAACCACAGACTGATCACATGTTGTGTTAATGTGGACAGTTGATACTGTAATATAAGTGCACTAACGCGGCTAGATAAACCCTCCATTAAAAACTGTCTCTCTCTTGCTTGTTGTCCTTGATGGAAAGTATTAGGTAGGACATGGACTGTGGAAAATCTTGAGGGATGATGTTCATATTATAGTAGCCTTTTTATACAGGAGATGACAGCTCTCTTTTAACAAAGCTTCAGTTGGCCAAGTGAGTCATTGTTAAAGTGTTTCACCTCTTACTTGTCCTGCAGAGTGGAGGTTTCAGGGCAGCTGCCCAGGCACCTCCTGCTGACCCGTTGAGTAACAGAGGGGCAGCTTGTTTTCCTCCTACATCCGAGCTGAATATTTTTTATACTAAGCATTTAATTCTGTTTTCGTGTGACTCAGTGATCTGGGGTTGGAATAAAGACAAAGAAAAGGCTGAGGAAATACTTAACCAGGAGCTATTTAGAATAAGAAAACAATCCTTCTTTCTTTTTTCCCCCGGTATTATTCCTACTAAACAACTTACTTAAGGCTTAAGTAAGTATTTTTTCAATTAGATGACAGCATAAAGTCAGAATATAGTCTACAACACCTAAACTTTGTGCATTTGTAATGTTGGGTCTTTAAACTTAAGCTTCTTATATATGTAGTATAACAGTAACAGCTCAAATCTATTAATTGTTCACACACTTTTTCTGTGGGTGCTGAGAAAAACTAACATTTTGACTTATCATTTTGTCATTGATTTTATTCTAATGCCGCCACTATTGCTCATCTTACTTACTTATTTATCTAATCCTAGCCAGTATAAGTTCTGTTATATAAAATGAAGCTGATTATAATCACTATATGAAAGAAAATAAATACATTCCATAACTGTTACATAACTTTAATCCCTATCTGTGTGTTGTGCTTGGCCGATTCCTTCTGAGTAACCAAACAACAAACGAGGAGAAGCAACAAAGTATCATTTCTTTGAATCCCAAACGGAAAGATTGAGTCAGGGGCAGAAATAAAGTGAAATGGTTAGCGGTGTTGATGCCAAGGGAGAGAAAATGATGCTAAATGAATGATGGAGAGATACAAAATAAATAGAGAGAGCACCATCCACATATACTGTATACAGTGTGTGTGCATGAGTGTGTGGAGGTGGTCTAATATCTTAAGGAGATTCTGTGAAGTCTTATAAATCTGGTAGAAATGATATGTGATTGTAATCTCTGTTGCTCACTAAAATGAGGGTGTCATGGAAAACAGCA